ATCACTGGGGTTTTAAAAGAGAGGTTTATCAGGGATTCTTCAGTTGTGATTCCTGCATTGCAGGGGTTTAGATGTCACTTGGGGTCTCTTCCAACTCTACAATCCTAATAAGTCTACAGAGAATGACTTTTAGATATTTTGCATACATAAATGGGAGTAGATTTTTTTACAAAAAAAAATCTTCAAGGTTTAGAGACAGCTCCCACTGCAGCATCTATCCCCAAAACTTCACCTTCAGTAAACAAGAACTGATTATCACCTTTTGAAAATTTGACTATATTGTGAATGCTAAACTCCTTTTGAAATGCCTGGCACCACATACATGGTTACCTTCCAGATGAAAATAGGTACCACGTTAGATTGAGCTGCTTCCCAGTATTCCTTTAGTCGTATTGTCTAAAGCCATGAATGGGCTGTAAATTGCAATTGCTAATCAGCAACGGCATTCTGATTGCTTCACACACCAATTTTAAGGTCTTTAAACTGCTGCCACCAACTCACCTGAAGTGCAGACCCAAATACGATAGGCAATATGAGGGGGAGTTAGTTTTGTGGAGCCTCCAAGTCTTCTGCTTCTTCATAGTTACAGAAATTTTCCTTGAGGCATTGATAGATTTTGGATCAGATTATGCCCAACAAGTCTTCAGGAAGGAATACAAAAAGGCACTTGGGAGTAAGGGAAGCAGATCAAAATTTAACAAATATGGAACAACGGATATTGTATTTCCAAGAAAGTAGGATCAGCTACATTCTGCAAAGATTTGAAAATCTGAGCCTGCAACCCTAACTGAAATTACCTGTGAGTAAGCCCCATTGAATCCAATAGGACTTACTGCTTAATAGCCATGGTCTTCATTACCTTCTCTTAGATACAAATGAATTTCAAGAAAGGGCAATGGACATTTGCAGCTTGCCCGAATAAGAGGATGAAAAATTTAAATCCTCTGGTTAAAAGAAATCCTTCTACTGAATGCTCTCATTCCAATAAAATTCTACATATGAAACATGCACCATGGCAATTAAAGCAGAATATAGTTCAAGATCCTATTGGCATGGACAATTTCGTGAATAAAGTATTCTGAGCAGCATCAATAATGAAAAGTCACACAACAGCCTTTTAAACATAATAAACACTTTGTAAGAAGAGTCCCAAACAAATGGAGAAACAGGCAAACCTCTCTGGTACTATCTCATTTTGGCTAGAAAAAGTAGAGTTGAACCGTCTTTGTTGTAAGCTAGATGTATGAAAAGATAATGCGCAACTGACTTGCTCAATGACCATCCTCTGGCTAACGCTTTGAGGATAATTATTCACTGGAACTGCCCCTGCAAGCCAAGAGCCCCAAATATATGTAGCCTTGCACGGCCCATTGCCATTTTCAATGTCAATAATCAAGACACAGACCAATGGAGAATGACTGTCAACATGAATTCTAAAGCGTGTGTGTGTGTGTGTAGGATAGGCACTCTTTCCCCAAAGTTAGGATTTGGGGGTAGGAGATTCTAATACAGGTAAGAGAGATTCAGAGTGTGCAAGTTAAGTTTATTCTCTCCTAGAAATGAAACAAAAGCAGTGGTGCATAGCAGATTTATTCACTGAACAGGTTGATTCAACAGAGACGCAGCACGTCAGACCCTACTCATGTGCTTACATAATTGTTGACTATTTAACCAGTCTGTTCTTTTGTCAAATATTTGTTTTTAAAAAGCAGTGCGCTGATGATTGCCATTTTCTGCATTGGCCCATATATTCAGTCCCACTATATTCCAGTCAGCTCAAAGTCAAAACTGGATCTTCTCTGGATTTTGTTACTGATAAATAACATAAGACGAGCCCTGCTGGATCTGGCCAGGGGCCCATCTGATCCAGCATCCTGTTCTTATAGTGGCCAACCAGATGCCTGTGGGAAGTCCACAAGATACCCCCTTGCCAAACTCCAATATATATATTGTGTGAAGAAAATGCCAATTCCACGCCATACATTTAAAGCATTATGATACCACTTTATAGAGTCATGGCTTCCTACAAAGAATCCTGGGAGCTGTAGTTTGCTAAAGGTTGAGCATGGCGTAGCTCCCATGCAGCTACCCCCCCCCATCAAGTAAATATATAAAAAAAGACTTAACTAACTGACCAATCACGTCACAGATAGCTCAATTTCCCCCCCCCCACCAACATAAATCCTGGCTACGCCCATGGTGCTGAGAGACGTTAGGAGACCCATTCCCCTCAAAAAGGTACATTTCCCACAATCCCTGTGAAGAGGGGTTGATTGTTAAAGCACTCTGAAAACTGTAGCTCTAGGAACCTAAGAACAAGTTTATTCTAATAAAGCATTACCTGGACACCACAGTCAGGCCTTTGCCAACCAGGGGCCCTCCAAATGTTTTGGACTCCCATCAGCACCTGCTAGCACAGTGGCTTGTACTGTTTGTAGTCCAAACCACATGGGGAAAACACCAGGTTCAGAAAGGCTACCTTTTAGGCAATGATAACTCGTCGGAACGCAATCCACTGAATGGTTTCAGAACCTTCTGATGGAAAACAAACAGAAGTCACTCCCTGGATAGGATAGGTATTTTATATGCATCACATACTCCAAGCCCATTGAAAAGAGTAAGCTACAAAACATAAAATGCCACCTGCCCCCCACCAAATATGTATAGTTCACTTACTAGCAATCAGGCTGGCACACACAAACACACGCACAGTTGACTAGGTGACTACTACAAGGCAACACTGAAATTCTGTCAAGAGGTGCCTAAATAACATAGGAAGTTGCCTTTTAGCAAGTCATCCCCTTGGTTCATCTTGCTCAGTACTGTCCACCCTGACTGGCAGCAGCTATCCGTGGTTTCAGGCAGAAGCCATTCTCAACTGTGCCTAGAGATGCCAGGGCTTGAACATGGCACCTTCCGCAGGCAGAGCGGATGCTCTGCCACCAAAGCAAGGGTTTTTGTAGTTAGGAAGGGAACGTGGCTATGGAGAAAAGCTAGCAGGGCACTGGGGAAAGGGGTAGAAAAAGCTATAAAAAGAAAAGTGAAACATGACCACAGAACGAGTCCCTCCCCCCCCCACACACCAAAAAAATATCACACACATATCTTCTGGCTCTCCGCACACTTTTTCAATTAATGTGAACATACAGAATTCGCTGGGAGCAGAAAGAAATATCTTCAGTAGGAACTACATTTATCTAGGTGGCACTTAAGACAATGTCTGTGAACCCTTTACTGCATCATTAAGCTTCTGCAGAGCTGCTCTGACATGCTGTTATCATATCACCTGCAATTAGTACTGTATAGTTAATAAAACAACCACCACCAAAAGTCCATGATCAATATTCACACAGGTGAAATGCACTTTGCAAGCCAAAGCCCTCTTCTTGTGTGGCACATGTGTACAAGCAGTCAATAAATTTAGGCATCAAACTAAAGAACGTGAAGGATAAAAGCCCAATTTCCAATTTCTCACTGGACAGATGGTTAATTATATTCATAGCTGCGTTTCTCACTTGGGAAGAGTTTCAGATAGTCAACCAGCATTGTCCAATTACCCTGTTTAATATGGGAAGTGACAATAAACTTTAATGGTTTTGGGGTCTTCTGGCCATTCCTTGGTCACTACACCCCCCCCCCATAAAGTAATTCTCTCCCTCATTAAAACCTTATCTGCAGTAAACAAGAAGCACAGAGTCATGTGCTGGCCAGTGCCAGTGTGTAAAAAGAATAAGATGGCAAGGAAGGATCACTTAGTGACCTCTTTCCTTTTCATAATGTGGAGCAGTTCTGAGTTGCTACCTAAAGCAAATTGCTGACCAACAGAGGAGCAACCCCTGCAATAGGGAAATCCACTTCCAGCCCCCTGCCTGCACTGAACACACACAGTGCTTTAATTCAAAAATTTAGCAGAACACTAAATTCCTAAGCATGAACCATGAAATAAATAATCACACTCTTGGCGAAGAACCATCTGATAAACATTTTTCTCTGCACACAAATAAAGTGGGCATTATCCTTCTCAAGAAATGGCTTAAAATGCTGCTGCATTTAACTTTTGAAAGCCTACAGGATGTCAAGAAGGAGGCATCTTGAAATCTTTAATCCAGGGGCCTATAATTTCATCCCCAAATCAGCAGATTCCATGTATCCACGCACAGAGAAACATCCAATTTGGAGCACTCATTCACTTTTTAGCAAGACAACATTTTCAATGCCATGCATACACACACACACACACACACATGCACACACAGTCTCTCTTTTTTTCTACCCTCTCCCCACCCAGGGGACCATACATTAAAATAGCTGCTAATTAATTATGGTAACCTCTGGCCCCTGCATTCCACAGAAAACCAGCAAGGAGGATTCAGGTTTTAAAGCAGCCCACATTTAACAAAGGGGGGGAGGATATGTGATTTTGATTCTATTCTCTTTCCCCCTTCTTTTTTGACAGATTTTCTAAAAAGAGATGTATGAACTTAAAACACCATGCGCTCCCCCACCATCTTCGCACGCTCCCCCACCCTCCTTTCCTTTCAACCCTTTACAATCCCCCTCGCGCTCACCGCCCTGGATCGGAGGTATTTTGATTGGCACAATTTATGCTTCAATTCTGGCGGACACCCCCCACCCAGCAACCCAGACCTGCAGGCTCTCTCCTAAGAGAGAGAGAGCGAGAGAAAGCAAAGCCATTCCTAGCCATCATCTGCCCCCACAAACACGCGCGCGCGCGCGCATCCCTGCAGCTTATTTGGCCTCCTCTCCGTATTAAAAAAAGAGAGCCGAGGTGGGGGGCCCTCCCTCGAAGGATTGCAGTGCTCGGGCTGCCTGCATCAGCGCTCCCCTCCCCTCCTTCCTGGTCTGATGCAGCTGCAGCGCCAAGCAAGCCTTAGAGAAGAGCCGCCGCTGTCCCCGCCGGATTCGCACAAAAGGGTCTACCCACCCTGAGTAGGCGACGCCTTGATACGAGAATGGGGAAGGGGGGGGGGAAAGCTTACCTTGGAGCGAAGGAGGCGGAGAGGCCTGCCCGGGCAGGGGCTGCTCCACAGCAGGCGTGAGAGCGAGTCTGTGGTGGCGGCGGCGGCGGCTGCTGCTGCTGCGGCACTCAGGACTGCCGCCGCTTCTCCATGAGCCCGGCGCTCCAGCGCGTGCAGGTGGACGCGCCTTCCTCTCCTGCTGCCTCTGCTGGTGCCTCTGCTGCTGCCGCCGCCGCCGCCACCTACTCCTCCTCTGGGAGGAGAAAAGGATGGAGATGGAGATGATGGAGCCGCCGGCGCGGCTCGTGCGGCACGAGGGTCCCCGCAGTTGTGCCAGCCGGCGCCCGCAAGCTTCGGCCCCGCGCAGCTCCCGCCGGCCGGGCAGGAAGGGGGGCGCGCCTGCTCCTGCTGCCGCTACTACTACTGCCGCCGCCGCCGCCGCTGCCTCCTCCTCCTCCTCGCCGCCGCCGCCTTCCTCCTCCTCCGCGGCTGCTGGGGCTTCCTCGCCTCCTCCGCCTCCCCCACCCGGGTTGCTTTTGCCCATTCAGAAGGTGCCTAATGCGCTGCCGCCGCCGCCGCCGCCGCTGCTGCCATTGTTGCCTCAGCCGCGCCGCTCTCCGTCTCGCTCTCACGGGCAGATGAGGCTTCCCTTCGCCCGCTAGGCAGGCAGAGCCGGCGCTCGCTTTTCTGCCTCTCCCTCTCTCCCCACACCCCCTTAATACTATGAAGTCTCTCTCCTCTCTTCACTCGCAGTCTTTCCTCCTCCTCCTCCTCCTCCACCCCACTGAAAAGCGGCGCGCGCAACGACGCGCGGCCACCTGGCATATAAAGGGCGCGCAACCCCCGGCGCTCTGGAGGCGCGCTTGGAGAAGGCTGCGGCGCAGGCAGCGGTAGCTGCACAACCGAGCGCGCGCCAGCGGCGACCCTGCGCTACCTGCTCTCCGCCGCCGCTCCCGTTTCCCGCGAGCTGCATCGCCGCCGCCACAGGGTATTGATTACAGAGGAAAGCAGAAAGTTCTGAAATTGGAGGGGCCGCTCCTAGGAATGGCCCTTTTCCTCAAAGTCGCTCGAAGCAACGGCAGCGTAAGGCGACGGCAGCAACTACGGCGGCTCTTTCGTCTCCAAGCGCATCTCCTGCCTTACCTCGTATTTATATTAAAATGGGTTTAGGAAACTACCTCTCTCGTGCCAAGTTAGAACACTCGTTCATCTAGATCAGCGTTACCTGCGCTAACTGCAGAGCCTGTGTGGTGCAGTGGTTAGAGTGCTGGACAATGATCTGAGGTACCGGGGTTCAATCCCCACACGGACATGAAGGTCACTGGGTGACCTTGGGCTAGTCACTCACTCCCAGTCTAACCTACCTCGCAGGGCTCTTGTGAGGATAATATTTGGGGAGAGGAGGACCAAGTACATCACCACCAGCAAGGTGGTATTTCTATAAATAAGGTAAATAAATAAGTGGAAGAAGCTCTCCAGGGAGGGAAATGAAACTAGGACCTTCTGCTTACAAAGCAAATGATATACCCTTTGCCACATACATTAGAGCCAGTTTTATGTAAACTACAAAAAATAAAAAATAAAAATGCCACAATACACGTACTTCATGCTCAAGGTGCCACAAGACTCAACACTAGCATGACTACCCACTGGAACTTTTGCAATACCTAACCTATCCTTATGACAAGCCTATAAAGGAGATCAGTGCAGTCTCCACATTGTTCCTAAAGTTGGAGGTATGAGAGAGGAGCCAAGAATTTTAAAGCTCCGCTTACTGAGATTTGAATAAGGGACCTTTCTGATTTACAGGCTAAAGGAAGAACAGAATAAGATACTATCCACGGTCAGGCCAGTGACCCTTCTAGCCCAGCACTGTCTTTACAACCTTCCCCAAGCTAGTGCCCTTCAAATGTTTTGGGCCACAACTCTCATCAGCTCCACCCAGAGCATCACAGGACACCAGGTTGGGGATGATCCACATTCGTGTGTGTTTGTATTTTATGTATTTTATTGTGACTATATCCCACCTTTTCCTCCAAGAAGCTCAAGGTGGCATACACGGTCTCCCCTTCCTCATTTAATTCTCATAACAACCCTGTGAAGTTAGGCAGAGAGGCAGTGACTGTCACAAGGTCACCCAGTGAGTTTTATAGCCAAGTGGAGATTTGAACCCTGGTCTCTCAGGTCTTGACCAACACACTAACTACTAAACCACATTCTTCTCCAGACATACCAGGAGAGGTCAGGGATTGAACCTGGGGGCTCTTCTGCATGCTGGACTGCAGTAAAGTAGAGATAGCTATCATGTAGGTGTTGTGGCCAAAGCTCCCAGTCCCCCACCCCCACCCATCCATTGGTTGGGGCTGATAGTTTTAATCCACAACATTGTGGAGGGCACCAAGTTGTTATCTTTGTCCCCCTAGACTTGTACACCATTTTTATCTGGTAACAGTATTTGAACTTTACCTGTGTGCCAGAAGGCAATTTACCATTTTAAAAACCTACATATCAACAAAATTAATTTTAAAAATCACTAAAATCTGGTAAAGTCATAATAAAAAAGAACACTTCCATTAGAAAGGAGGAAATAAAGTAGATTGGGTTGATCTGCTCTATAGTACATATGAAGCTGTGTCCACCCAATGTATAATTAAGCAAAAGGCTTGTTCCTTTACCTGATACAGCACTAATATCTTCTTAACACATATTGCTGTGGCATCATATTAATGGCAGTATGTGTAGAATCTACACCTCTCATTTCAAAACAGGGATTTTAGTCCCATACCTGTTTTCCACTGCCAAATTGCAGATTTTAGAATCTCAAAATAAAGAGAAGGCTACAAACATGCACAAAGTGCCCCTTGTATCCAGGCCCTTTCCAAATAATGAGGAAAGGGAGAAACTGCTGGATAGGATGGCAGAATTTAATCTGTGTAACTGATACTTCAGTCAGCTAAACCTCTGAGTAATTAATGAATGGAGGCAAATTTAAATCATGGCAGGGGACTCTACAAACTAAAGGCATGCTTCACAAGTAACAACCCGTCTTATAAGATACATATACGATATACCTATTGCATAATATCAATAAATTCTAGTGGAAGCAGAATTTTAGGTGGTTTGTCTCATTATTCTTCATCTGATATGTTGGGACTCACTACTAGGCCACTACTGTCTGATCCAAGTTGGATCACAATAACAGCATAAAGCTTAGAATTAGGCAGCACAAAATAACTTCCCCCAAGACAGCCATAGAAACATGACAGGAGCCGAATAAAATAGCACCACCACTTAGAGTCAGCAGCCCATAAAAGCAGCAGGACACATGTACACTCAGAGTCCACTTGAACATTTATGGGCAAAGGCCTGCCTAATCTTTCTGCGAAGTATTACCCTGGTGGTGGTACACTAGCATCCAGTGGCGTAGCGTGGGTTGTCAGCACCCGGGGCAAGGCAAGTAATTTGCACCCCCTAACCCGTGGATATGCGCCCCCTAACCCCCAGATGTTGCGCCCGGTGCGGCCGGGCCCCCCTGCACACACCCCCACGCTACGCCACTGCTAGCATCTTCTCCCTGAAGGCCTCTTCCAAAGGTTCTTTTGCCTCCCTCAGCTTCTCAGGTTCAGCTGCCTTGGTCTCAAGGGACTGAATTTGTTCCATGGCATCCACCAAACAACAATTGTCCAACAGTCATAGGTGTGATAGGCCCCACAACCCTTTGTTTTTGGAACTTCATTGGGTTTAGGATATAACTCAGTAACATGTAATATAAATAAAATAACTAAATAGGTTTCTTCAGAAATTAATAGATGGGAGTCGGTACACCTTGCCCTTTGGGGAAGAGTGAAATCTCTCAAAATGAATATTATTCCCAAATTAATCTATATTCTGAGGGGAATTCCAGTTCAAATATCTGGACAATATTTCCAAAAAATAAATTATTTGACTCCGAAAATATCTTTACAAAAACATACAACTACAAATTAATGAAGGAGGATTCAGTATTATGAATCTGGAGCTTTTAGAATGTGTGTATGTGTATGTGTATGTGTATGTGTATGTGTATATGTATATGTATATGTATATGTATATGTATATGTATATGTCCTCTGGTTGGATGGACAGTATTAGGATCAAATATATTAGAACTTGGGAGCCTCTCAAAACATTTTTTCCCCAGAAAGATATGGAATATAATGTCCAATAAAGAATAATTTCAATCAAATTCTCTATGCTAAATTGACTTCCTGAAGAAACCCAACTTCAGAAATTGGAAAAATATGGTAACATGAAAAAATTGGATGGAAACTGGCATACTGACTTTGAATCAACTGATAAATGAGGCAGATGAATTTTACACGTATGCTGTTTTAAGCAATAAATACCATCTATCAGATGTAGCCCAATGGCAATATTTGCAGCTGCGACACTTGTTAACAACTTTGTTTGGACTGGCAGCTTTTACAGCTTCTGGGATACCAGAGATATTAGAACAATTGATCAGATCCTTTGAAACAAAAAGGCTTTTTTTTTTAGCTATTTGTTATCAATAAATCAATCCAATATGAAGATTTTAAGAAACGGGTGGAACAAAAAATTGGAGGTTCATATATTACCTAAACTGTGGAAAGTGTTTTAGCTTCAATAGTAATTGTGACTATGGATCTTAAAGTATGACTTATACAACAGAAAATAATATTTAGGATTTACTGGCTATCATTACATTTATATAGATAAGGACTGTCTAAGACAGCATTCTGTTGGAGATGTTAAAAGGATAATGCTTCTTCGAAGTACATGTTTTTTACAATGTCCAATGCTTACTAAGTTTTGGGAGAAAGTATTGGATTGTATAAGCATGACTGCAGAAAACAGTTTAAATTTTCAGAGGAAAATATTCTCTTGAATTATGTGCCTACTATACAGAATTTGACAACTAGACAACATAGATGGATTTTTTGTGCCCTTACTATGTCCAAAAGACTGATATTGATGCACTGGAAAGATTATTTTAAAGGGGGATTTGACTTAGCTGACCCCACCCAACCCGGAAACAGCAACTTTTATTGTGTGAGTCAAGAATGAATACTGAATAAGATGAGTATCTGGGCAAACTGAATTCCTTTGATAATGCAAAGGTCTAAGCCCCTGTGCACCTCCCTTCATATGCACTTTTCAGTGTGCAACATACTTAAAACTCAACTAAAAAAACTAAGTTTTAAAATAGAACTGAGTCTATATCTAAGCTTAAAAATTGCATATTAAGGCTAAAACCTTTGGCTTATAAGCTGGTTTCTCCCACTGGTTAGGTCTACGTTGTTGTCCTTGTTACATTAAAATGGAGACATAGGGTGAAAGTACATCTTCTACCCATTTTCCAAAACTAGGTTCCTGGTTGAAGTAAATTTAGATAAGCCACTCAAACAGCACAAACAGAGCTGAAAACACTCAAGTTTTTTCAAGTAAGGAAAATAAATTAAATGCATAGGGCTTACTTTCTTTTCAAAAGGTGCTGAACTCACCTGTTTGCTGAACTGTTTGCCATGAGAAATACTTCATGAATTTGGACTCCTGCCATGCTAGTAGAACCGTCTGGAAATCTAGGGGTGGGCACACCTGTCAATTTAGGTTTATCTCAGTATCTCATTTTTCCAATCTTAAATTGCAGTTTGCTGCAATTCCACCACTGCCCTGAAGGAACCCTCATGAAAATTGTAGCATATTTGTGTGTAGTTTGTCTATGATACAGATTTTTGCAAGCAATTCCACCCAATATATTTGATTTTTCTGTTATTCATGTCACTTTTATGCTCATTTTTTTGCTGGAGAACTGCATCACAAAATTTAGATAAATGTGACTTTTAAAGGACAACAACT